TCTTCTCTGCGCGTGATTTCTACTTTAGACTTATTTTACTTTGAAAATTTTCACCTTCACTGCTAACTCCATTTTCGTTCGCCTTTTACCAGAAATATATGATCTTTTTTTTCAAAATGAGGTTCATTTTTTAGGTTCAAAGATTCAGTTTTTTATTCCCAAAGAAAAGAGCTTTATAGATCTGATATTTTTTTTTTTCGTTCAAAGATTCAATTTTTACCTCCAAAAGAAAAGAGCTTTAAAGATCTGTTTTTGCTTCTGTTTTTGTTTCTGTTTTCCCCCAACAAAAAAAAAAGAAGAAAAAAAAAGAGAATCATGGGGAACAGCAGCAACGATCTCCTCTCATCTTCCCTGAGCTTCGACTCATCGACATACCTCTCCACCGGCGGCTACGAACTCGAGTCGAACTTCGAGCCGTCGAGCCTCAACCGGCTCAGCTCCAACCTCGAACGGCTGATACTAGCCGCCGAGTACAATGACTACAGCGATGCTGAGATCGAAGCCGACGGCATCTCGGTCGGCATTCTCCGCGGCCTCCTCGCCACCAGAAGCCCGTTTTTCCACAAGCTGTTTCAAGAAAAGAAGCCAGAAGTTGGGCCCGCCCGAGACCCGGCTGGAAAACCCAAGTACCTTCTGTCGGAGTTGGTTCCCGGTGGGAATGTCGGGTACGAGGCTTTCATGGTCGTCTTGATTTATCTTTACACGGGCCGGTTGAGGGGCCCACCTCCCGAGGTGGCCACGTGCATTGACGAGGCGTGCCCCCACGAGTCGTGCGTGCCGATTGTCGATTATCACGTGCAGCTGATGTACGCTTGCGCCACGTTTGAGATCAAGGAGCTAACTTCAGTTGTTGAGGTGATTCGAGTTCCCCTGCATGCTTTCTCTCCTTTTGCTATCTTCGCCTAAAACTCTGTCTAACGACTTTTGGTCTTGTGTAGCATTGCCTTCTAAACTACGTTAACAAAGTTCGCGTCGAGGAGATCATCCCGATTGTGAAGGTCGCAATCCATTCTGGTTCAGGCGCGCTCGTCTCTCATTGCATCCAACGGATCGTGCGGATTGACGTCGATGATGTCATCATCGAGCGGACCCTCCCAACCAATATCGTATCCCGAATCAAATCCTTACGCTCTAAATCCAACTACGAGGAAGAGCACGACTCATCGCAAGTGAAACTCCTCAACTACCTCAACAGTAAGGTCATCCAAAGGATATACAAAGCCCTCGACTCGGACGATATCCAGCTCGTGAAGTTGCTACTCGACGAGGCAAACCTCTCCCTCGACGCGGCTTACGCCCTCCACTACGCAGCCGCCTTTTGCCCGCCTAAAGTGTTTGATGAGGTCAAGAGCCTGGGGCAGGCCGACTTGAATTTGAGGAACTCGAGAGGTTGCACGGTTCTCCACATAGCCGTTATGCGAAAGGATCCTTCGATAGTGTTGAGGGTTCTTGAGGGTGGCGGGTGTGTGATGGACCCCACGTGGGATGGGAGGACTGCGCTTACAATAAGGAGGAGGTTGACTCGGCCCAAGGATTTTCATGAGGCGGTGGGGCCCGGGAAAGAGACGAATGAGTACCGGTTGTGTGTAGAGGTGTTGGAGAGGGAGATGTGGGGGAGCCCTTGGGGTGGGAGCTTGCCTGGCCCCCCGCCAGTTGTGGCGGCAGACGATCTTCAGATGAAGCTTCTACTTCTCGAAAATAGAGGTAAGGATATAATAAGATGGAAATGCATGATTGGTTTGTGGTGTGTGTGTGTGTGTGTGTGTGTGTGTGTGTGAAGAATTTGTTTGAAATTTCGTTTGGTTGATGCGGAAAGTTAGACCGTAGGGTAAGCTTAAACGAAGCTCATAGTATATCATGGCTGATAGTTGATGATGGCTGAAATACTAACTGATATGCGTAAAAAAGTTTGATAAATTTAACCGATGATTTCGATAACTTGTGATTCTTATCAAACACATGATGTGGTTCTTTTAATGCTCTAGTTATGCTTCGTTTATAGTTTGTTTTCCGTATTTTGGGAACGTTTCTTTAACTTTGTATATCTACCAATAAATCATACACGATTACTGGTATTCGTCTAATGTATATTTCAAGGTCGATCCTAAACAATTAGTGAGAAACTCGTCTATTGTCTTTTGATCTGAATGAATTTCGGTTCAATTTGGCTAGTGGCGATGGCACGATCTTTGTTTCCTGCGGAAACCAGATTAGCCATGCACATAGCACATGCAGATTCGACCTCTGAGTTTGGTGGGCTTTCGGAACCCACATCATGCGCCAATTTGACGGAGTTCGATTCAAATGAAATGCCACGCGACGAAGTCAATAGGCTCCAGCAGAGATTGCATGCCTTGCAGAAAACCGGTTAAGTCCATTTCTTTTTACACCTCGTCTTGTTACTTGCAGATTTGTAATTTACTCAGTGTTTTATTTTTTCTAATTGATGACTTGGTAGTGGAAGCAATGCTCCGGTTTTTCCCCAACTGCTCGGAAGCTGTGGATAAGCTGTTGGAGGATGACACTTTGGGTGATCTCCTATTGGAAGAAGGGAGTCCCGAGGAGCAGAGAACGAAGAGAGTGAGGTATATGGAGCTCAAGGCGGATTTGACAAAGGCATTCAATAAGGACATGACTGAAAATAAACGCCGGGCTTCTCGTCGTGTGCCTTGTCCCGCTCGACGTAATTCAAAAGGATAAATGTGGTGAATGGTAATAACTGTTCATTCTTTTTAACCCAAGATTTGGATTCTTCATAGAATAGCCTTTCTTATACAGTTGAAAAGAGACTTCATGTTTGTTAACTTGTAAGAGGCTTATGCTGCTGAATACCGAGACAGATAGAGAGAGAGAGAGAGAGAGAGAGTGAGAGAGAGAGAGAGAGAGAGTTTCTTGTTTTTTTCCCCATTTATTGCTTTTTTACTGTTTCTGTTGCAACTTGCAACTGATCATTATATTTGATTTTTGTTGATGGTTATCAAAAAGTACACTTATGGTTGGCAAAAACCAACTTACTTGTATGATTGTTAGTGCTATCATTTTGAAATCGAGCCTAGGTTTTGTAACTACAACTTCCACCATCAATGGAGAATACAAAACCAGTCTAGCCAAAAGTACTAGCAATCAAATCGAGCCTAAGTTTTGTAATTATAACTTCCACCATCAATATATAGAAGCTTAGTGCATGATGCACGAACTTGTCTAGCATTTTCTTCTTCTCCTCCTGGTTTCGTCTTCAAATAATTTCCCTTACGTTGCAGACTTTGGCTAGTGGCATGCGATAAATATGTAAAACGACTTGGATTCGAGATAACTCAGAAATGAGGGTACATAGATGATAGAATCATCGTAATTTTTATAGAATTTCGTAGGAATATCAGCAAGTAATATGACGAAAGTAATGAAATGCAGCAATCGTGTGCAGATGTTGAAACGTCTAAGAAGCCACAATGGCAATCCCCGATGATCATAAGCATCGAAATGAAGGAATAACTAACAAACACTACTATACCACAGAAGAAATGGGACATGAGCATGAACTCTTATTAGTGGTTACACTTTCGCGTACACTTTGTTGCTACAAATGTTAGCTTAACACTGAAGTAGAAGAATTTACATAGAAACACTCGACTTTACGAAACTTTTTCTTCGTTTTGTGTTTCAAACTTCAACTTTTGTCATTGCAGTAGTGAACAGTATCACCATTCCTCCCGTTGCAATTCAAGTTTACCTTGTTCAGTCCCCATATCCTTATAGTTCGATCATCGCTTGCTGAGGCAAGCATATGTGGATTAGCTGGATTCCAGCTGACACAGTTCACGGCCCCAGAATGCCCGACCAAAGTCATGATGAGCTCTCCCGAGGGTCTGTGCCATATGTAAACCTACAGAGAGCATATAAGTTTTATTAATTTCTTTTAAGAACACAAAGGCTCGACTCTAGAAATGTGTTCAAAACACCCCTGCTTTTGTAAGAAGTCGTTTTAAGTACTTAAGATTCAGTGTTTGCAAATATTAGCTGGAATTTGATTAATTTAAGAGTTAAAGTGTATTGCTTCTGCACCAGTGCTTAATAGTCAAACCAAAAACATCAGCAAAATCAAAATAAAATTCAAATGTGATTTACTTTTCGTTTCCAGCGAAAATTCAGCGTCATTTTTTTCAGTGATTGCAAGATGTTTAGGAGGGTACAAGGAACATAAATATAAACAAATACATTAAAATAAAAAATCAATATTCAAGAACAGAAGAACAATGTGCACCTGTGAGTCCTCACTTCCACTCGCGATAAAAGCTTGTTCCAGCCCACCAAAACAAGACCGCACGACAAAACGTGAACGTCTGTGGCCTTTATACTTCGATACCAGCCTGGGGCAGCCATCGATGTCCCAAAGATGAAGTTCTTCATTCCATAAGCTAACAAGCAAAAGCTTTCTATCCCTAGAAAGTACAAACGACGTTATTGTTTGACTTTCTTCAATGAATTTCTCTGTCACTGTCTCCCAATTGAATAACAGTATCGTGGTGTCTTTGCAAACCGTGACAAGCTCTTTCCCACCACTAGAGATCCCCAGGTCAGTAATCTTAACAGATTTCTGCCCTTTCCAGCATTCTAATTCTTTTCCTTCAAGATCCCACATGCTGATGCTCTTATCAGTAACACCAGAAAATATACTATTCCCATCCAAACCCCAGCCACAAGAGACAAAGCCAAGACCACTTTTTTCATATATCTGAAGACATTCACCAGAGACAATGTCCCACCGTCTAATGGTCTCCTCAAATCCACATGAAAGGATTTGGTGATCATCAAGGCCCCATGAGATATACGAAACCGGTTTCTGGTGACCAATTAGTCTGTGTCTAACTGAAACTTGGCTGTCAGCCTTAACCTACAAAATGCATCTATATGATCAGGGTAAAATCAAGAGCTAATCACAAATGAAGTTAGGAATTATTGAACGGTATAATCAGCTCACTCAGGAAAGATTGACTTCAAAATGTATTTACATTCGACAAACTGGTACATGTTTTCGCGCCTGACACTATCCACGATGTATGTTTATAATTCAGAAGACAAAATGTCTGGAAAACTAATGCTGTTAAATGGCAGTTTCAGCGGGTTAACATGCTGAAAATCAAAGGGACATATTCTAATTAATTTAGTTATATTAGTGTACTGAAATCAGCTTTACAGATAGTTTAATTGTTGGGATGAAAATCAAGTAGCAAGTAGTTTAGCTAAAGGAGTGTCTAGATTAACTGGTGACCAAGTTGTGTGCATACAAAAATTCTCCAGCTGGACAACACACAGTTTCGAGCCTAATATATTTCAGAGTTTTCACATAAGAAGGTTATATGAGAAGGATCTAATAATCTAGAGAAGGTTGATTAATTGAATATTTTCTGTACTGCAGCTGACACTAAAAACGGCTTTGGCAGATCCGGGAACTTTATGATGTAAAATCTTCTACTGGTAAGTGAAATATGCATACAAGCCAAATCTATATATTTCTGCCAAATGCTTTGGGATGTGGTATTAATATGTTAATCAAGATGTTTAGCCAAATCTATAGTAATACCTCACCACAACATGAAGCATTTGTGAGGAACTTTCAGCTTTAGGACAGATATTACATGTTCCACAAAGTTTATGCTATAAAACTCAACTGCAGGCCACTCTTGTAACAGAAAAGACTTAAGACAAATACTAAACCAACACTAATTAATTGAAGGCAAAAGTAGCAGTTATACCTCCCATATAATCACTAGACAATCACTTGATGATGAAGCTAAATATTTCCCGTTGTGTGAAAATTGCAAGAACCAGACTTCATTGCTATGTTCCTGTAATATCTAAAGGATGAAAAACAAATTATCAGATATCACAGTAGAATTGAATGGCCAGATAACTTTTTAGAAACATAGATACATCATGAATATTTCGCATGTCTATAGCCATTAAAGACTTAACTGCAGAACCAGCTAATTCAGATCTACTAATAGGAACGAACAAGCCAAATACTAACATCCAACAGCTGAACTGAGTTCTGGAATTGTTGATCCATATAGATCAAGCATCAGCGGAAGGGAAATACTCCTTCCTCACACCAACATGGAACATAAATAAATGGAAAAGTGCGAACTCGTTTTCTATTAGTATGGAAACAACAGTCCATTTTAGGTTCACTCTTATTTTTGGTACTTACACATGCAAAAAAAAAAAAAAAAAAAAAAATTGATGAGAATTGTTTCTTCATTTAAAAAATTAAATAAGGAAAAACACAAGAAAACTGTGAACTGTATTGTTAGTACTGGAGTGAGTTTTTTCTTCTAAAGGAAATTTATCCTAAAATCTAAATAATCATTAATGATAGAGAAAACATTCTGATTTGAATATGATTTCAAATACAATTTTGAAACAAAAAGTGTCCTTGCATCACACAGGCTAAACACACTATTCAATAAGAAGATGCAAACCTAACTGATATGCGGATGCACAGAGAACTGAGGAAAACATCATTAAGATATTCTATTGCATAACTATCACAGAAAAAATTGGAGTTGTTTCCAACAAGTGCAAATATTTGATATTAATAACACCTGCAATGTTTGACATGGAATCTGGTCCCTTCCACAGTGATGATCTGTGAGCAATGATATGTCTCCAACTGTGGAGTTGTGAAACCTACAAGCATCTTTCTGCAAGTCAATAGCCTTTTCAACAAGGTGCACCAATCTGTTTTCTGGAATTATTACAGTTGGAGGAAGCAACTTTTGCAGTTCCTCCAGTAATTTTCTACGAGATTTGAGTCTTGATTCTCGATCAGCCTTTTCAAGTGAATTCTGGGATGGAGACACCATGTAATAGGAAAGCTCTCGGACTTTATAGCCATTATTAACACAAATGGGTGCAATCTCGGTCCTAAGAGTCTTCAAAGCATCCATGACTTTTCCTCCATCCAAAAGCTCAAAAAATTTCTGCTCCAATATTGTGAAAGATGCCAGCTTAACTATACTTTCATCCATTCGATCAATTTCATGCAATGTCATGACACTCTCATCCCATTTACCATCAAGAATCTGCTGCACAAATATATCTACCTTAGTAGAGTGCAAAGGTATTCCTGATTCTTCCTCAAGGCACGCCCCTGACTTGGAAAACCCAAGAGAATACAATGCTTCAGTTATAATCCGAACAAGTTCTACTTTCTTAATGACACCTCTTGAACCAACAACCTCATCCTCCTCCTGAGATGCTAACAGACGAGCCATTGAGTGACTTACTGAACAACTTTCTTGATCTCTAACTGATTCTCTAGAAGAAACCTTCAAACGTTTTGTGGGTGGTTTATCATCCTCTACACCCATGAAAAACGCAATTCATCCCATATATGGATACCACATAATCACAAGATCCAGGATCTCTATAGTCAAATATTTGACAACTTCCGATGTTATTCTGGTCAGAGTGTCAAATGATAACAATATATCTTTGAGCACAATTAACAAATAATAGGAGAAGGGGAAAAAAGAACTCAACCTCTTATCATCAGTACTACTGTACTAGTCCATGTAAAACTAAGTCAGCAGCAAATGAGTTCAAATTTACTTGAAAAAATAAGAAACGCAAGAATAGATGAAT